GGAACCCACATGGGGAAGCCCCATAGTAGCTGTCAGTCACAGACAGCCTGGGAAAACTATAACATACCATACCTCCTGGAGTCCCTAAGCCACGCTCAGATTGGCAGGGAGAGTGAGAACACTGCCCCTCACCCTGACCTGGAACCCCAGAGCGGCCGGTGGGTTAGAGGCCCTGCTTGGAGGGGTTGGTCATAGGGACCAGATGAAATAACACCATAGGCATGTGTTTGCCTTGTGTTGCAACCCTGCCACCTGAACGTTTGAGAGCTGATCTTCTACAAGGTTCCAGGGGTAGCTATCTCTCCCTCTTTCTCCTTCTCTCTTCTTGCTCCCTCTGATACTCTTTCTTTGCTCCTTTCTTGATGCTTATGATGGCTTGGAGTTGGAGGGATTGGATCTTGACTTAAGTGTTGTGAATTAGTTGGATCTTGACTTAAGGGTTTGTCTTAGTTTAATGAGACACAAGTGTTTTGCTGAGGATGAATTATGAGGAAGACCCAAACTCCTCCCTCTAAGCAATTGTAAATCTGAAATTAAGAGGGTCCAATTGAGAAAAATGTGGAAAAAGGAAAAAATAACAGCCCTTTATTAAAAGATATATGTGTATTGGCAGAACAACAAAAGAACACAAATAAAACAACCAAGCAATAATCCTATACCCCAAAATAATCCCCTTCAAAACTAAAAAACAAACAAACAAAAAAGTAAACAGTTCAGTGTGCACCCTTTGGTGTTGGATCACTGGAGATGCAGAGCCTGCAGTGCTCTGTGCCAGTCAGCAGGGATCACTGGTGGTCACCACATGGGGGGGGTCCCCGGGGTGTGCTGGAGAAGCTGAAAATGGAGGTCTTCACTCACCAGGAAAAGGGAGAAAGGAGGGAAAGAAAAAAAAAAAACAACCTTCCCAACAGGAACTCACTCTGTCCTGCTGGCTGAGTTGTTTGGTGTGGTTTCCCCTCTCCTTTCATGTGCACAAGAACTGCTGCTAAAAAAAAACCCACGGGAACAATGGAGGAGGGGAAAGAAGGTGACTTCCTTCACAAATGGTTCCTCTCCGATGAGAATACAAGCAAGTTCCCGGGCTGGGTAGTGTTGCCCGAAACAGGAAAGGAACACAAACCAACAGAGTGTCAGTTTATGCGGTGCTTTATTGGGCCCAGGGGACCTGAGGACTCACGTCCCAAGTCAGAATCCCGAAGACCCTCATTCCGAGTACATCTTTTATATGCTTAGACAAACAAAGTCATTTGCTAGGTTACCACATCAAAGCACATACAAAAATTTAATATTTCATCCAGATTACAATTAGCCATTACCTATCCCACCATAAATCATCCCCAGTTGCCTAACTCTAAAGGCCATTTAACTAACTCCCACAATCCAGGTGCAAGTTATCAGTAGATTAGGAAACTATGTTCTATACGCTTGAGCTAATCTTTTGATTATTGTTTCTTCTTGGTTTCACTCAGTTAGCACATTCCAGTCTTGATAAGTTCAGGATGTTACCGGTGGGGCCTCTCACAGGCCTGCTCTGCACAGCAACCTTTGACCAAACTACTGCTAATTCAGCAACCACTGCAACAGTAGGACTGAGCTAACAGGGCAACCAGGCTGAGAACAAAACCATCTCGGAGCTCCTGCCACCCAAAACTTTGTCCCAGCTCCGACAGCAACAAACTCACTGCTGTTTCCCAGGGGAGGAGAAAAAAAGTAAAAAAAATAACTCCTCACCCCTCCCCACAGACAGGATCTTGCGGACCATCAACTTGGAATGTGGTTCTACCAGCCACTTCATTTGTGTTAATCAATTGCCCAAGCCACAACCGACCTGCCCATTCAACTTCCCCTTCACACAGTGGGCAGGGGGAAAGGAAAATTCCTGCTTGGTTTCCAAGATCAAGCAAAACCATGACAGGGTTGTAGTATATGCTGAGTCAGTATTGTGGTGAAACATTTTTGTCTAGCTTGTACAGTGTCCTTTTTGAACTTTGGCCAAGTTCCCTTATTTGCTCCCCTAAATTAATAAAGAAATCCCTTGGTAACAAGTCCATGGCTTATTCTCTTGACACTATCTCAAGGTATTAAAGAACCCTATATCTATATATTAAAGTAAAACTCCTAGCTAAGCCCTTGGGCCAGCTCTCTAATAGCTTAATATCTTATATTGCAATGACCAAATCTGCACACAATTTTCAAGGTGAGGTCTCACCAGTGCAGAGTTAGAGTAGGGCAATCACCTCCCTCGACCAGCTGGCGATGCTGTGCCTGATGCACCCTAGGATGCGGTTGGCCTTCCTGACTGCCAGGGCACACTACTGACTCAAATTCAACTTGCCATCGACCAGGACCCCCAGGTCTCTTTCTGTGGCACTGCTTTCCAGCATCTCATTCCCCAGTCTGTATGAACAGTCAGGGTTGCCCCATCCCAGGTGCAGAATCCAGCCCTTTCCCTTGTTGAGCTTCATATGGTTGGTGATAGCCCAGTTCTCTAATTTGTTGAGGTCTCTCTGCAGGGCCTCCCTGCCTTCCAGGGAGTCAACAGCTCCTCCCAGTTTTGTGTCATCTGCAAACCTGATTAGTATCCCTTCCAGTCCCAGTTCCCAGTAATTTATGAAGATGTTGAAGAGCACAGGGCCCAAGATGGAGCCCTGAGGAACCCCACTAGTATCAGGTTGCCAGTCTGATGTTACCCCATTCACTGTTATCCCCTGTGCTTGACCCATGAGCCAATTGCTCACCCACTGCATGATGTGTTTATCCAGTTGTGTGCTGGATATTTTGTCCAGCAGGATCCTGTGAGAGACAGTATCAAAAGCTTTACTGATATCCAAAAATATTACATCGTTTCCCTTGATCAACTAGGTGGATTACCAGGCACTGAAGAGAGACTAACTGACAGTCCTGTAGTTTCCAGGGTTCTGCTTCTTGCCCTTCTTGAAAATTGGGACAACATTCAACAGCTTCCAGGCAACTGGGACCTCTCTGGATTCCCAAGACCACTCAGAAATCATAGAGAAAGGTTTTGCACTAACATCAGCCAGCTCTTAGAGGATTCTGGGATGAATCCCATCAGGCCCCATAGATTTGTAGGAATCCAGCTGGAGTGGCAGATCCTGCACAATTTCAGGGTCGACTGGGAGTTGATCATTCTTGTAGTCATGGTCCTCCAGCTAAGGGAATATTTAAGGACACAGTACAGTGTTGGGATGCTCCCTGGCATCCCAGAGGCTGCCTATGTGTCTTCAGGGCAACTATTTCAATCCTTATGCAGCTTCTGGCTGTCTACCGTCCTAGAGATGACTTAAGAATGTGAAAAAGAGAGGCTATAGGCTCTGCTAATGCAGTGATGGTCAGGATCCCTCTTGACCTACTCTTTCTAGAGAGCTGTGATGCTGCCTGTGTCTGAGATGGATGTAACTTGTTCAGGACACTTGGCTCTTTGGAAGAACTGGATCAATATCAGAGAATGGACCTTCTCATCTGACACTGCTGCTCTCGATTAGACAAAAAGTTCTCTAGTACAAGATTTTACTTGTGTATACAATCAGTAAAATGTCAAAGGTCATCTTTTATTTAACAATTTTATTTGTGATAAATGCAAACTGCTGCCCACAATTATACTCTCATTCTTCCTTTGTAGTGCTCATGTAGCTCTACAGCAAATAGAAGTGATCTGGATGAAAAGTAACTCTCAAAACATAAGTTTTCCGCCACGTGTGTTCTGTGGTCAGATAGCCAGTTTATTGATTTAGGTTGCTGCTTAATTGCATGGACATTTCAGCCTCCTTGGAATGGCATTAAAAATGAGATGTGTGGAACAGGCAAGAAGGGGACAAGAACAATTGATTCCCTTCATTGATAGCCCACACTTATGTTTGTCTGCTCTTGTTTCATAACACTAATGAATTTTCCCCATGTAGGGAGGAGAAATAAAAATACCTACTTCTCTTCCCTTAAGCACTCAATCCAAATTTATGAATGTATCAGCTAAGCTTAGTAGTTTAAATTTAAATCACAACACCTATATTTAAAAACAGGAGTTTGGTGAAGTTGGGTTCTTTTAGCCATCAATTTTAAAGGGAATGTAGCAGCCAGTCAAACTTCAGGCTCTGTAATTAGGAAGTGGAGATATAAGTTGCTTGTGAACCAAATTCTCTTCATTTTTTGAGGTACAAAGTTTTCTTGCTTTATTTAAATCTGACGCTGCTTTTAGTTTGTGCCTATGACTGAAGGCTCCTTTTTCTTTACTGTTGTGATCTTGTCCTTGAACCAGTTTGGTAAAGAATTAGTTATCTCTCTTTTCCTCCTCCTTGATTTAGCAATTGAAGGTTTGTTATCCTATAGTTGAATCCTAAAATACTATACTGTAAAACTGTATTAAACATTCTGCATTTTGTATACTGTGGAAAAGAATATTTAGTTCTTTAATCGAGGAGAGTACAGAAAACAGTGAGAAGTGTTGACTACAATGTGCTTTTCTTCAGTCTGAATTTTCTTGTTTTGACAAAAGCAGCAAATTAGTTTGTGCATGGAGAATGAGATTAATGCTTAAGTGGTGGTACCTGAAAGTTAGATTGTGATGTTCAGTTTAAGATACACATGGCATTTGTTTGAAGTCTTAGGGAAGCTTACATTTAAAAACAAACAAAAAAATCCAAACCCAGAAACTCTCCTTTGAAAATAATTTTTTTAAGAGCTAGGCTGAAGTTTTGCCTGTTTTAAGTAACTACAATTGTATTGACTACTTAAAAGCAGAGAACTTGTTCACCTTTTAAAAACATTTATCATTTACTTTGAATCACTTGTTCCATTTTGATAGCCTCCTTCATATAGAAAATACAGCATGAGATGTCAGTCTAAATTCAAGTCTAACAATGCTCTATCTTCTATGTGAGAGGAAGTATTCTGTACATTTTTCCATGTTTGACATCATGGTGTTTTGAATAACCATGTTCCATATTCATATCAATTTTTTGTTTTTGTTTTCAATTTATGCACAGCACTTGCTCTGAAATTTGGGGACTGAGTACACCAAACACGATAGATCAGTGGGATACAACAGGCCTTTACAGCTTCTCTGAACAAACCAGGTGAATATTCTGCCCTCTCTTGCGTCATAGAAATCTTGTGGGAGGGATTGGCTTTGGAGGGTATGTAATGGGATGCTTTAGCTATAAAATAGACTAAAATGCTTCCTAGACCTCTCATGGTACAGCATTTTAAAATATTTGCTTGCCAGTGTAGAAATCCAAGTGTTATCAACTGATGTTTTGACCAATGAAACTAATTCTGCAATATTCATTTTTTCACACCAGTGTTATTGAAAGAATGGGAAGACTTGTTAAATGCAAGTTCTAATGGGATTTGTTATTTATATTAAGAAAGTTGGGAAACTTAATTCTTTAGACCTAATCTTGCAAAGTGATTAAACTGCTTTGTATGTCACAAGCTTTCAGTTAAATCTTGCTAATTGGCTCAAATATGAGCTACTAAAGAATTGTTTGTAAATTCTTCAGTAGTTAATGGTGGGCAAATTCTAAACAGGATCTTTATTTTTTCATGTCACATTACTTGATTTGTGTACTTAGGTTTGTCTCCCATCCCATAACAATCATAAACATCTGCATTTGTGTAAGCATATGCAGTCTGTCTTAAAACTAGCAAAACATTTTCAGCTGGTAGCAAGGCAGATGAAGTCAAGAAGATAAACTGAACAACCCTTAAAAGAGGTGCATTCATGCTTTTTGCATTACTGTTATACTGCCATGTGGATCACTTGGACAGCTGACTGCCTATAGGCTTATTTGCAGTCCTGTTGGAATTCTTATACTTAAAGCCATAAAGCATCTATGCCATAGCAAAACCTTGAGGTGTAGAAGTGGAAGGGACCATGAAGTGTGTGATTTTATTTATTTATTTTTTATAAATTCTGTTCTTCATTTAAAAAAAATATATGAAGCAATCATCCTAAATACTTGGTTGGATATAAAGTGGTTTTTAATGAATTCTAAATTCACTGGTAATAATTTGAGCAACTCAAAAATAAGAAGCTACTTGATATGATCATTTTTATCACATTTGAAGCCTTTTAACAAGAGTATAAATGTCACTAGCAGTGTCAATCCTCTGAATTCTGAGAATGAATAAACTACCCATCTCATGTGTGTACAGTGTTGTTTGAGTGATTAAGAGACAGCATGCAGTCTGTAACTACTTCTCAACATCTCTCCCCTCTAGATCTCTCGATGGCCGTCTACAGGTATCTCATCGTAAAGGATTACCACATGTTATTTACTGTCGTTTGTGGCGCTGGCCAGATCTTCACAGTCACCATGAACTTAAAGCAGTTGAAAACTGTGAATATGCTTTTAATCTTAAAAAGGATGAAGTATGTGTAAACCCTTACCACTACCAGAGAGTGGAGACACCAGGTAGGAAGACTGCTTCTGACTTGGTATAGCATCTGTACATACTTGATAAACATAATGTTATAAGTGAAAAAGAAAAAGATGCTTTCTCTCGCCAAAAATACAAGATTCTTAGAGATACAGCTTTTGAGAATACCACCCTGATAGTTTTTAATAGTAAAGTTACTGAAAAATCTTTATGAATGTGGAGATACCTTTACCCTGATTAACATTTCCAGGACTGCTAGCAGTTTCCAGATGGCTAAATAGGACCTGGACTGAAAAGGAGAACAGAGATGATTTACCTTTGCTAATGTGGAATAGTCTTAAAAGGCACTTCAGGAATTTGTTTCTTCCACTGACTAGTAGTACAATCGTAGTATTATCAGTACTTAGATTCAGAAAATTTCAAAACATCTGAAGAGATTGTTAGATGGTTTAGATATTTTTTTTTTCCTTTTAGCTGACAAAAGTGTGTATTTTGAGGGTCTTACTAATGCTTTGAATTTTGCTTTTCCAGTCTTGCCTCCTGTACTAGTGCCACGGCACACTGAGATTCTAACAGAACTACCACCTCTCGATGACTATACCCATTCCATTCCTGAAAACACTAACTTTCCAACTGGAATTGAACCACAGAGCAATTACATACCAGGTATTTTCTTAACTCTCACTGTAAACAGTACATTTTTCATTGTGCCACTGAAACAAAGATGGCAATTTAATCCTCCTAAGTGATCAAAATAATTTCAAGATGCGCCGATAAGTTAGATCTAGTTGATTTTGTGTATTAATTACAATGGAAATACCTGAACACTGATGTTTGCAGAACAAAATCCTGTGTGAAAGCCTATTGCTTACTTGGTTTCAATTGCTTATTTAAAATTCAGAATGCTAATGAGTAAAAAATAGACCTTTGCCTTATGCTTTCAGCCTGTTTTGCAAACATATAGGGGTTGCCAAATGCTGTGTATTGGAGATTGAGTAGTAAACTGCTACTCAGTCTCACCATATGTAGTCTGGGGAGAAAACTTTTAATTTGCAAATCAGTGACTTAGTGTTTTGATCTGTAGTTCACAATCAGTCAAGGTCTGCTTTGTGTATTTGTTACTATTGTGTGCACAGTTTTGTCTTTTTAGTATGAAAAAACAACCTAACAATATTGAACTCCAAGAATTCCTTCTTTGCCCCTTCTCTACCCCAAGACTAACCTGTTACAGTGCACCTGAAAGCTGGTAGCTTTATTGAAACATAAAATCAGTGAACTTTGTTTCCTGCCCCAACTTTGTGTTTCCTATCCCTTCAGGAAATTGCCTGGAGTGTAAAACAAAGTAAAGTTGAAGTTTTCTCATAAATGTTTAATACAGCCATGTTATGAACAAACTGAAAACTCAGGTCTGGACTCTCTTGAAGAATAAAATTACTTGAAACTCAGATATGTGCAATGTCGAAACAGGATGTTGCTTGTGTTTTCTTTAAATGTATCCAAGAAATGAAATGGCATTAAAAATGCAATAATTTGTTCTTATCTGTTTAATCTGGGCCACATTTGTTGCCACCCAGGGACAACAGATCTTTAAAGAGCAATTTAAGGGGCTAAAAGTTGGTGCTGCTTTAGTAACTGATGTATGCTTTTTTTGACTCATTCTGAGGACTTTTGATAGCATTTGCTAACAACTTACTGCAAAGCCACCATTTGCAAATCCAGTGCTATGGAGATGAGCTAAAGCAACTAGGTAGTTAATTGCAGGAAGTATGTTCAAGGTGATTGTGGGTATTCACATGATCTTCAAATGTTTATGCAGCTAACCACACCTTACCTCCTTCTCTTTGTCACTGACACCCTCCTGTTGTATTCATGGCATCTTACTTTATTTGACCTCCAGGACTTGAACACTTAGCTAGATTCTAAGTCATGTGTGTCTTGACAGCCTGCTTCAGAGAACCGTTTTCTTAAGTGGTAGGCCAGACTAACAGCAGTGGTCACTTTGCACCACAATACCATCTCAGTACATGATCTACAGAGAGGTTGGTTTCACTTACAGCTGGGAAGATGGCAATTGTGAAGGTGTAGAATGGCTGCTGGGACTGTATGTTCCCTTTCAGGTTATGGATGTGCTCAGCTGCATTCAAGCACTGCTAAGAATTTTTAATGCTATACTTGAACATTTATTTCCAGCTGTGGTGGTGCTCAACCTCTGACCCTAAACTGCATTAATAGTACTAGGTGGAGGAAATCTCTTTTCAGACAGAGATTAGTTAGGGAGAATAATCTGTGCCAAAGAAAAGACTATATTAGCAACTGGAAACAGGAGGCATGGGTTGTATTGGAAATGGTTATTAACCTTTTACCATGGCTGTAGGCTTAACTATAATGTATGATTTGGAGAAGGGTAGAGTCCACTTTATCAAAATGAATCTAATAAAAATGTTCAAAATTAGTATGATTTTTGTTATCATACTTCTTGATAGTGAAGATTTCCCTTAATTGTCCTTTTAAATTATCATTTTAATTTTGTCACATCTATATTTAGCACACTAGTTTTACAGAGTGAACCAAAGATATAATTCTTCTGGTAATTTTTATTTAATCATCTGACTTAATCTAGTTTCCTCTCGCTGACTTCCTTCTGATCTTACTATATTACTGTAAATCTCAGACATGATAATTGATATAATTTGATTTTAATTCTTCAACAAAAGGTTTTATCATTAAATTTCTGCTGTTTGATAATAATGTAATTAAATGTATTTAATCCCTCAGATGTCTCAGAGACAATTCTAAGGTGATTGTAGAGATAGCTTCAAACACTTTCACTAAAGAAATCCAGGTTTTGCCTTTAATATATAGAATTGTAGAATATCCTGAGTTGGAAGGAACCCACAAGGATCATCGAAGTCCAACTCCATATAGGAAAAGACATTTGCCCAGTTCAAAGAAAATTATTTCCTGAAAAACAGTTGGTTAACTCATCTGGATTACAAAGTACATTTTGAATGGAGAAAGGGAACAGAGAGGGTAATCAGGCATTGGAATGGGCTGCCCAGGAAGGTGGTGGATTCTCTGTTCCTGGAGGTATTTAAGAAGAGACTGGATGTGGCCCTTAGTGCCATAGTCTAGTAGCTGTGGTGGTAGTGCATCAGGGATTGGACTTGATGATCTCAGAGGTCCTTTCCAACCCATCTGATTCTATGCATACTCTTCTGGGTTTTGAAGATATTTCTGTTGAATTAGACATAGTTCCTAGTATCAGAATGATTCAAACTTGTTACTGAGTTTGCTTTGGTCTGTGAAACTCCATCTTTAAAGAAAGCTAGTTAAAAGAATAGATGATTGTTTTAATAAGTAATAATGATAATAGAGCTTATACAGTGTAACTAGTTAAATAATATAGCTATTATTGACTGAAATCAACTGTTAGATATTGAAGAAAAATGGATTTGGGGTGGGGACTGAACTGAAAAGTAACCTTCAAATCTAGCAAGGGAGGGTATCTGATCTGATGGTTACACTATAGAAAGAGAGCTCACATGATTTTTTCTTTTGTGGAAGTCACCAGATTTTTTTTTCATCTAATTCTACTAAAAGTAAAAACTGTTGATTACTATTGCAAAATTGTTGCTCATTGTAGTGAAAGTATCGTCCTAAATGGAACAAACAAGGATTATCTGTTAATTATATACCATATTTGAGCAACTGACTGGCATACAAGAGATGATACATTTTACATAGACAATTAAGGCAGGTTATGTATTTGAAGTCCTACCGGAAGGAAAAAGGGACAGCAAAATGACATTCTAATAAAGTATTCAGGTATCATCTGGAGCTCATGAAGATTTAAGAACAAAAAACCCAAATGCTAAATCTTAAAAATTTCCTCAGTCATTGAACCAATAGGTGGATTTTTTGTTTTGATAGAAACACCACCTCCAGGATATATCAGTGAAGATGGAGAAACAAATGACCAGCAGTTGAACCAAAGCATGGATACAGGTAACAGTATTTTCAAAACTTGGGATTACTGGCCATGATCCCTCTGCATAGCAGCATGAATTCAGCCCAAGAGATGATGGCAGTTTTCCTCTGTACAACCCGGTGTTTTCTGTTTAAAATATCACTTTCAGTCTTTAGTGAACAAATATTTTGCTAGGGGAATTCTTTTAAAACATTCTGTGCCATATTAAGTACATTACATGTTTCATAACAAAAGCATACAGGTCTAATTAAGTCTTCATCAGATTTTAATAGCTGATTGGTTTTAACCATCCCCAACTTTACCTTCTGGAAACAGGTTCATTGAAACAAAATGTCTATTGGCTGCATTTTGAGAACCTGTCTCTTATATCTGGCACCTTATCACTTCTGCCATTTTTCTAATCAATTCTTGTATGGAAGGGTCTGTGAAAAGACTAGTAGGAACATTAAGCACTTGTGCCTTTATATGAAAGAGTTTCTAGATAATGTGTTTGGCTTTAGACTTGGACAAAGCACAGCTAATATGCTGGATAAGAACCTACTGCTATGTGCTGGCAGACTTGAGTGTGTTTGATTCGCTAATGTTAGTAACCTTTTTCAGTTAGTTGGAATCAACTTCACTAGTTTCTGTAAGAACTGCAATATTTTCCCACTATGTTACAACAGGTACCTTAATTAAAAAAACCTGATATCAGCAATCATTGTAGGAATGATTCTGTGCAAAACCTCTTTGTATCTTGTCTACAAGTGCACAAATTGTGTTGGAGAATTCATGTTTTTCTAAATTTTTTCCTTCCTCCTTCCAGGAAAGAATAATCTCAAATGAGGAAATCCAGCTTGTGCTTCTAGACATAAACCCTCTCCTTTGAGAATAGAGGCAATATCTTGCTTGTCTCATCCACTTTTTCTTAGCATTTTTCCACTGAATTTGGGAAGAAGTCACTACCTTCTCACTGGGCTGAAGCATCTCTCTTATGAAGACAGGCTGAGAGAGTTGGGGTTGTCCAGCCTGGAGAAGGCTCCAGGGAGACCTTAGAGCACCTTCTAGTACCTAAAGGGGCTACAAGAGAGCTGGAGAGGGACTTTTGACAAGTGCATGGAATGATAGGAGAAGGGGGAATGACTTCAAACTGACAGAGGGCAGGTTTAGATTAGATATTGGGAAGAAATTCTTTCCTGTGAGGGTGGTTAGGCACTGGCACAGGTTGCCCAGAGAAGCTGTGGCTGCCCCATCCCTGGAAGTGTTGAATGCCAGGTCGGATGGGGCTTTGAGCAACCTGGTCTAGTGGAAGGTGTCCCTGCCCATGGCAGGGGAGTTGGAACCAGATGATCTTTAAGGTCCCTTCCAACCCAAGCCATTCTATGATTCTATGACAAGCACATAAATAAAGTTATGTCCACAGAGTGTGCATGAAGTGAAAACTCTGGCAAATACAACACTAAGATGTTAATTGAGTCTTTATGAGGAGGGGTAGGTTCCCATGAGTCTGGAAAATTAAATGCAGTCTTAATTCACAATAAGTGTGGGATATGCTGGAAAAGTGGTGTTAGGATTTCTGAGGTTTCTTATTCCAAAGAATTTCAGTGTAAAACTATATCTAGATAATGGTTATACCTACCTATCTGAAATAACGAGTCATTTGCTCTGAAACAATCTGTATTGCTTCAACAGGATCTCCAGCAGAGCTGTCTCCTAGTACTCTTTCTCCAGTTAATCATAGCCTGGGTAAGCTGGAAATACTTTTAATTATTTCTCTTATTTTTCTATGTGTGGTGACTCTATATATATTACATTAAAAATGAAAATGTACTTAAAAAATTAAGAATTGTTTTAGGAGACTATTTAGTTGGCTTGCTGATGATGAACATAATAGGGCTGGGTTAATAAATTGTTAACTACTATATTTCTGTAACTGTTGAGTTCCTAGCAAAGAGAAAGAATAATATGGTTGTGTGTGCAGGACTAGCATTTATAAAATACTTTAAAGGATGTTACCCAATCCATAGTGCTGCCCAGACTTGCCGACTCCCTTGTATATGTGTTCTGCTGCTTTTCTCATGTACTGTTTGACCTGTAACCGCAACAGTCATTGCTCCCACATTAGTTGTCCACCTGCTTTGATCAGGTGCCATTGCTGTGTATTTGTATAAATGCCTCAGGAAGATCATATTCCCCTGGGTTTATTTAAGGAGTGGTGATAGAAAAATGCTGTTCAGAACACTGAGTAAGTAATTAGGGTAGGTAAAAAGGGGAAGCAGTTCAGGAAAAGCTGGAGATGCACAGGGAAGATACTGAGCTCTCATAGGGGAAAGTAAAAGGAGCTTAGAACTGCTTCTAGATAAAGAGACAGTATAATATCTAATGTAAAATGAGGAAACATCATTTTCATATTAATATTTTTTCCTTTATGTGGTTCAGTGTTTGATAGTTTAATCTTTTATTTAACATTGCCAAAATGTTTGCAAGTTATCGAAAAGCAACAGAAATGTCTCAACGTCTGGCACTCACAGCAGCATTAGCTTAATCATTTTGCTGAGCAAAATGCAAGTACTGAACTAAATGAGCTGTGGTCAGATTAGATCACCTCTTCTTCCCCTCCTTCCCTTGTGTGAAAGATTGAATTCCATTCTGTTTACTGGGGTAGATAAAAATGACAACAAGCAAAATATAATTTGAGGAGACTACCTCTGTCATTTCTGGGAGAGACAAATAGCAGGGCAGATAGATTTATTTTCAGCCTCAAATTCTGTATTAAACTTGTTTTTTAATATTTTTTTTTAGACTTGCAACCAGTTACTTACTCGGAGCCTGCGTTTTGGTGTTCAATAGCATATTATGAATTGAATCAAAGAGTGGGAGAAACCTTCCATGCATCCCAGCCTTCCCTGACTGTAGATGGCTTTACAGATCCTTCAAATTCAGAACGATTTTGTCTAGGTTTGCTTTCCAATGTAAACAGAAATGCTACAGTGGAAATGACAAGGCGACATATAGGTAAAGATCTCTGATCTTTAAATATTTAATTTCATTTTAGACATTGAATTATCTGGAATGATCCAGGTAGGATGGACAGATCTGTGTGTTGGGTTCCTTCCACCCTTGTGCAGCCAGCCTTAGAACTTCTCTCTCAGAACTTGCCAAGGAGAACTTGGTCTCTCTTGCTAAGAACAGAAGTGGAAAGACAGAGAGATTTCTGCTTCTGAAATTGGGGAGAAATATAGCAGCTTCTGTTACAACAGCCTGTTGCAATTGGGAAGAGATGTAGTGATGGCTAGAGCTGAAAGGATCTCCCCTTCTTCTATCAGTAGTTACTAAGCTGGTGGCAGCAGCAGTCACAGCTGTCAGGCTGCAAGCAGCACAGGAAGAATCCACTCAATTGTATGGGATTTCTGTTGCTCACATTGCTGTTCTCTGCCTTCTGGAAAAAGATGATGTACCAAAATATCCCAAAGAGCAGGTTTTTTGGCTTTCAGGCTCCTTGTTGGACTGCTTTGCCCTAGGTAGCATTTATATTCAGAGTTGCTTATAATTGAAATTTAAGCTTTAATTACAAAATATTAGCATGTTACTTGGTTTATCAATTGTACATTACTTATATTCTTCAAGAAATAACCCATACAGGTGTTTTCCACTTAGAGATAACAAAATCACAATTTAAAAGTGAACAATAGGGTTTCTGTCATGGGTTTGCTCTGGACCAATTTTCTCTCACGCCCCACACAATTGCTATAAGTTAAGAGAAGGTTTATGCAGACAAAATAGATCTGATTGGGGAGAATAATATTAGGATTTATTACTAGTAAGATAAAATCTAAAGAACTATATCTACAACAGTTCTAATTAGGCAAAAGTATTATGCATTTACAAAAATACCCCTCCCTCCTTTGTATCAGTTCAGGAGGAGAAGCAGTCTCTTTCTCCATTTCTGGAGCTACAGGTCTTTTAAATAATTTTGCAGCACTCAAAAGTTCTTCTTCTCTTATCTCTAGGACAACAACTCCGATTCGTCGCAGCTGGAACTGTTTCTCTTTTTCTCTCTCTCTTCTATGTTGGCCTCAGGGCTGGGCCTACCCCTCTCCTGGGCTAAGACCAGAACCTAGGGGGTTACCCAGGTCTTGTAGGGTCTTCCATGGACTGCAAGGGGACACTTGTCTTACCATGGATCTTCACCACAGAGTCACAGGGGATAATGGCTTTTGAGTCCACCCCTGTTTCCTGTGGGGTCCCTTCCCACAGGAGAACAGTCCTTGATAGACCTCTCCGACGTGGATCCATCCCTTGGGCAACAGGTCTTCCATTTTCTGCTGTCCCTCAGGGTCACAAATTCAGCTGCACTAGCATGGATCCCTCACTCGGATCCAAACATCCTACCCGAGCCATTTTGCTCCAGTGTAGGTCTCTCTCCATGGGCCACAAGTCTCCAGCAGGACTCTGTTTCATTTTAGGCCTCTCCCGAAGTCTCAGCTTTCTCGTGCATCCACTTACTTCTGCGTAAGCTCCTCTATGAGCTGCATGGGGCTCTCCTCACCCCAATAATCTTCCACAGGTGGCAGGGTTTTATTTTTCAGTCTTTTCCCTGATGAAGGGAGAGAGAGAGGGGGAGAGGAGTTCATCCCCCCTTCACAGCTTTTTCTCTTCTCTCCAGCTGCCAGCTTTGACGTTATAGGCCCGTTATCTCTGCCTGGAATTCTTCTGCAGCAGTCTTGTCCAGACAGTCAGTCCTTTTCTAAAGTTTTTTTCTCTACTCTGTTACAGGAGAGAAGGGGGTTTCAGTGCCATACGTGCCCTGGCCCACTTGGGACCTGCCACCTCTCCTACATGGCTACTAATTTCATCTGCGGAACCACCTTCTCTTCCGTCTTCTTAAATATATAATTGACAGAGGCATTACTAAAACTTTTGATTGACTTTTTCTCCAGAAATCCACCTGGAGAAAACCATTTTCAGCCCCAGGGGAATGCTGGTGGGCAAACCCATGACAGTTTCTTATGGGTATTTTTTTGTAATGGTCTTGTTGGTTTTGTTAAAGTAGTACAGAGAAGGGGTATCCAGTGGGTTATGAAATAGTGTGGGTGCATGTAAGCAGAGAGTGTCGAAGTGGTACACTGTGTTTTCCTTTTTTGTCATAGTGGCCTGTACTACTTCACATACAATGCTTTAATACTAGCACAAGTTTTAATTTTGCTGAATCTAATCTTTTTATTTCAATTTTGGTATTTCTTTAAGTGAAAAAGTTATTTGGTAGTGAACACTGCTTTCTAACTTGGATTTGGTTACAAGTCATTACATGGTTAAAAAATTCTATCTCACTCTTGACCAAAAATTATTCTGCTTCTCCTTCATATATTGTGTGTTTGTGGGAGAAAAATGCAAGTTAATTGTGTTCTGCTCCTGCTACAGGTGTCAGCCCAGCTTTGTGGTCCTGTAGATAATTGGTTTCTGTTGTAAAGAAAGAAAAACCTTGACCTTCTATGAAACAAAATACTCTCGTTTGTTAATCTGCTTGGGCCATATAATAACTAGAGTTCCTTTGAATTCTGCTACAGGAAGGGGAGTACGTCTCTATTACATTGGTGGAGAAGTTTTTGCTGAGTGCTTAAGTGATAGCGCAATTTTTGTTCAGAGCCCCAATTGTAATCAAAGATATGGCTGGCATCCTGCAACTGTGTGCAAAATTCCACCAGGTTAGTAGCCTACCAAAGGTCTCATGGGAAAATATTCAGTGAATGTATTCACTGGACATTTGCTTTCCTTTTCATAGTTTCTTCATAGTTTTGGGCTCCTGTGTAGTAAACACAAGTATTCATTGATTGTACTCTTTGGACTTTTTTTTCTTTATAGGATGCAATCTAAAAATCTTTAATAACCAAGAATTTGCTGCTCTTCTGGCTCAATCTGTGAATCAGGGCTTTGAAGCAGTTTATCAGCTTACTAGAATGTGTACCATAAGAATGAGTTTTGTTAAAGGATGGGGAGCTGAATACAGGTAAGAAACTTTTGCTTTTAATTTTAGAGTTAATTTTTCTTCTTTTGCTAATGCACTATTTCTGTCTGGTTTGAAAGTTGTACCTACAGGCTTCTTATTGCTATTGTAGATATGCTGTCTGCAAGTTAAACCCATATTTTCCGTTTTCTTCCTCATCAGCTATGGAACTTCTAAGTTATAAAGAGCAGAAACTGATTTTAGTATTGCAGTCAGCTGTTGACCAAGGAATGTTGCCAAAGTTCCGTATCCTCACTTGGTCCTGCTTGCTTGCTTGCTTATTATGCCAAAATCACTGACAACATCTAGAAGTTTCACAGTTTGTGCTGTGAGATTATTTGCTGTTTGTTAGATGTACAGTCATTTTGGTCTCTGTCCTGTTCTGTGTGGAGTATAATGAGTTCATTAGGTTGTGGTGTGCGATGCAGTTGATAGTATCTGACAGAAAGAATTGGAGTCATTTGGAGTGCATTCTGCAGAATGAAACAGCTGGAGAACATACATGTAATGGATGGCAAATATTTTGGAAATTGTAATGGAAAAAACTTTACAGGAGTAAGATGACTGTGTTTATGTAGTAAAACTGCTAAAAACAATTTTCTGAGTGGAAAAAATAGCCTTTTATCTGCTTTTTTAATCGATTCCAAATGTGTTCTATATTTAAACAAATCCCTTAAACCTCTCTAGAAATTGTCCACTGAAAGAATGAAGTCTGACATATCAATACCCTATTGCAATACATAATGATTTTTTAAAAATCCATATAATTTTTGAAGTTGAATAATTGTGTGTAGGTTCCACTGTAAATCCTGGGGAGTTGTTTCTTTTATCTGCTCTTGAAATATATACATGTAAATAGCAGTATCAGTATGTGGGGGAGGCTTCTCAGCTAAATTAAGCCAATTTTGTAATTAGATGAAATGAGAAGTTCGAGTAATGGAATAAACTGGTACCTCTCTGTTAGCAAGAGATACGCAAGAAAAAATATGGCTCAAGTTTAAAGAATTATTGGATTTGGCTCACAAGAAATATGTATACACATAATTAAATACAACATTCAAATCAGACCAGAAGAGAGGCTTAATCAGTCAGATTATATGGAGACAACTTGAAGTGAATGGAGTGTAAGTGCTGAATTAAAACAGTGGGGACCCTTTTGGTAAAGTTGTTTCTAAGGAGGGAGAATGTTGGTTGTTAGTAATCTATAAACCTTTCGGAGATCATAGGATTGAAAAAGCTGCAGTGCAAACACTGCCAGAACAGCACAGAAACTGATTAATGGCATAATGCTGAACTAGTTTCTTTGCATCTCTGTTTAAGATGATCCTAATAAATTATTGATGCACAAAACTTGTAAGTTATGCTGCAGTTGTGATTAAAGCAAGAAGAGGTTGGTCCTGCAAACACAACCTTGATTTTAAATTAATGTAATCTAAATTGTCAAAAAATCCATAATTCTTGTTAAAACTTCTATGCTTCATCATTCTGTCAAAAAGGTTTCTCATAGAACAGGCTTGGGCAAAACCAAAGCATTACTTACATTTTATGTGCATGTGTGTAAACGCACAGGTATGGCAAGGTGGTACATTTTATTTATTTACCAAGCTTATAAGCTTGGTAGACAAAATAGTTCACAGCTTTTTGCTCAACACATGGTGGCTTGGATTGAGGTAGAAGTTCAGATCAGAAGTCAAGTGTTCACATTATCGCAGGAACTATCCAGGTCTAGGATCATCTTCTGAAGAGAGTTCAGTAGAGGTAATTACAACAAACAGTGATATGTGAACTGGAAATCTGTGGGTAGAAGAGGCTGAGTTTTAGCTTTGAAACAACCGTTAGTGACTGTCACTATATTAACTTCTGCCAGTGGTAGTGCAAAGCCAGGGTCGTTGAACAGAACTAGTTTTAAAATTTTGAGGAAGTGTGTTGTGGAACACCTTGTAGGAGAGTTAACAGTATTGAAATTAATGAACTGAAAGGATTCTAGACTAAATGGAATTATATTTCCTATGGTTTAGATTGTTCTTCTATTGGACCACTTTGTTTTGGCATAGGCATTTGGGTCTAAGATAACAATGTTTTTTAGAGTGCTAAGAGTGCACAGATCCCAACTGCTTGCTTCTCCTAGAAAATGTGAAACCACAGACAACTTTAATCTTCTCACTGGCTTAATCTTTCTGCCTTTTCAGTTCCCCTTTTATATAAACAGATTTCCTTAAAGCGAAGGGTTGTAGTGCCAACAGTAAAAATGAAGGGGCTGGGTGTGTCTGACTAATCTGCTGCTTTTGAATCTCAGTGCCTTCATGCTTTGGCTTTGGGATAGCTAGAATTAATAGGAAAAACTGGCTTAACAACTGCAGTCTTGCCAGTCTAGTTTGGAAAAACTCCCATGCCTGGAGTGGGTACAGTGATATAACAGAATTTCTCAGGCAGAGTATGTCCAATACTGATTTTTTTTACTTTAGAGATGAGAAGGAAAGTTTTTGAATAACAGGTCTCTGAAACAAGGATATACAGGAGAGTGAATGAAACTTTTTTGATTATCAACCCTTCAGCTCTAGTGAGACTTGCTATGTGGCGTTTAATTAAGGGCTTCTGTTGTGAAAAATTATAGGCAAATTTATATAGAAGACAAAGGAAACAAAATTTTTACTTCAGTTGTTTGTGCGAGGATGTTACAGTACGAAACACATGTAGAAGTGTAAGATTACAGAAAATCGGAGATAAAGTTTGTTGTTCCTTTAAAATAGCATCAGTTAGTACAGTATAAACACACAGTGTTTTGACATAGTGTTTCTGACAATATCTATCAGTTTCCTTATACATTTATCTTGTCATTTGCTCCAAAAAAGCCAGACCTTATGATCATCATAGCATTGTGCTGTTTGGCCACGCTGATAGTGCAGAGTCAAGGGTTTCTATTCTGTATTTCTCAGTAGTTGTCTACAAAATTCAAACCCTTTTATGCATGCAGACTCTTTGAAGGTTGCAGTGCAGCTGCACACAGCTATCTGTGATGGGAACACCACATTGGTTGGACAATCTTTTGAATTTCTTTTTAGAAGTAAGGCTCTTGGTGTGGTACTTGAAGCAAAGGGTGCAGTTCTTATTTTTCAGAGCAGAATATTCTCAACATATTATGGACAAGCATGTAATTATTGATGTGTTTTACAGATGTGGAGTGTTTTGGAGGTTTGGGGTTGTTTTTTTTTATTCAAAGACTGTCTGAAAAAAGTTTAGTAACAGTTATGGTAATGGTTGTGGATTTTTATCTTTCTGTATCATTTTATCTTTATTTATCTTCCATATAGATGGAAATAGATTTGATCGTATGATGAAGAACTTTATGGGAGCTAAAGCTGTTTTCTGACTTCCCTATTCTTTATTTTCTAGGCGGCAAACAGTAACAAGCACTCCTTGCTGGATTGAACTTCATCTGAATGGACCTCTACAATGGTTGGACAAAGTATTAACTCAGATGGGCTCCCCTTCAGTACGCTGCTCCAGCATGTCATAAAACTCCTTCCTCTGTTACCAGTGGGCTAAATATCAAGTCCAATCAACAGACTTAATATAACAGTTCATCTGTCATAGTACTTGTGTGTGGTCCCCATGAACTGTTTACCATCCAAAAATGTTTTGTAAAAAGAAAAACAGCACTTCAGGTCTCATCATTTGAAGCACCTTGTGGATTCTGTTTCCTGTACTCTGATACTAGATGAAAATTTAGTGTATAGAAATGCCTTCTTCAGAAAGAAGATGGAACTGTTCTCAAGACTCTTAATGGTGTTTTTATTGAATATATAATTGAGTGTCCTAATAGTTTATCAATAACATGAATAGCTAAGTAAATGTACAGGTAATGTATCATGATCTCAAATTTCACAGTATTGTGCTGTTCTACATTTTAGTTCCCATAAATAGTTGTTTGGATTTTTTTGATTGGGGCAAATTTCTTATAAAATTCCAAGACTCTACTCCCTTATTCTTTTATATTTTTTATATAAGCAGGTTTTTGAGTTGTCCTAAACATAAAAAGTAGACTTTCTTTGTAGAAAAGCTCAACTTTTTGCTGCCTTCTTAAAGAAAAAAGAGAATCCCTCAATTGGAAGGGAAAGAAATGTCTTTAAGATTTCACAGATGAATCTCAAGACACTTTATATACCTAATGGGGCCTAAAATCAATTAATATTATAAATTCTGAATATCCATCACACTAGGAATATACTTTTCCGTACCTAAGTTGATGCATCTGGTGCCAGAAGTATTGTTGGCAGTTGTGTAATTTGGGATTTTTTTGTACCTTGAATCATGAAAGTCAGTGTTTTTTCTCATGGAATGAGAATTTACTGTAACATTGGATGCTGGAGTAAGTACACAAGGTTATTGGCTTACCCCTTACATCTGTATTTTTTCATTGAACGGATGTCACTAAAAATCATTAGATTGGAGCCAAATACCTTGAAAAATCCTTTCCCAAGGTAAACTATTCTTTTGTATAGGTTTTAAATAGATGCAACTTCTTAACATATTTCAGTAACAGAATTTAAATTTTTGATCTGCGTGGCTTTGTATAGCTTACTTGCATACCAGATCATATACATTCATTATGTCATAATGGGTCTTGTTATTAAAAGTAGTTGCTTCTGCAAAACCTTTAGGATAGCGGTTGCTGAGATATGACTGGCGAAGGAGGACTTCTAGGCTCTTCGTGACAGTGCATGTTATGATGAACTCTTGGACACTACAGTTCCACCATATTGAAAATATTCTGAAATATATTCTACAAATAAGCCTGGGTTGGGGATGGATTGGGAAACTCTATAGAAGGATTATTCTGACTTGAAAAATATGCATCTTACTAACAAGCTTGTGATCTAGCTGTCATTCTTTTGTTATTGTGGCAACAACAGGATTACCTTTGTCTATTTTCCCATTGTTTAATCCATTATACTAGTACTGTACTTTGTAAGTACAGCTAGTGATAACTTTGAGAACAAAAATATGGCCAGTGTTACAGCTTTTAGTCTGTTGACTGAATTGATGATCGTGATGGATATTTTTGTCCTAATGACTAAGATATAGAAGCAATACCAAAAATCAAACCTTGAAAATGTGTGTCAGACACCTTTCAAAAATTGGCAAAGCAATTACCAGTTTATGCTAGTTTTACCACTAGACTAATGTATTGGTAGAACTTGTGAACCTAAGAAATAAGCTTCATGCGTGTTGCATTTGCCTAATATGTGAATACACTAATAAAACTTTTAATTCTCATGATGGTTGGGTTTTTTTATAAATTGCTGTCTATATTTTCTGTTGAAGGTTAGGAGTCATTCTAACCCACCCAAATAAATGGCACAAGTGTCCTGCATGTTGTGGCTGGAAAGGTATAGTTAAGATTTTAAAATCACTTCTCATACAACTGTTGTGGAGGTTGGGGATCTGTATGTGTTTAGTGATACAGGCTTTTATTCCAGATCAAGTTTATTAAAGCAGTTGCTTTTTCCTACCACAATCAAATTGCATCCTACTAACTCAGATGTTTACTTTCACCTGTGAAACAGATAAGAGCAACTTCTCTGGGTGAAAGACTCCCATTGCATTTGTAAGCAGGTTACAACTTGAACCAGTTGGGTGACCTAATTCTGTAGTCCCCTTACCGTGGATTTCTGCATGTGTTCTTTCAGTTATGACAATATATTTGCTTTGCCTTGAACATTGTAATTAATAACCTTGACTGTACCCCTTTTTTGGTGTGCACTTCCAAGGAGTGTTCAGGGACACTGCAGACGTTATCTGTGGACCTGTGGTGCTGCCTGCGTGCAAGGTGATCTTAATCTGTGTAGAAGTCACTTTTTTTAACTTCTGTTAGTACCACTAAAATATTGTCTCCTGGCATTTCTGTTTCAGCCACAGCACAAGGGAATTTATCTGCATTTGAAAGGTTTGCTTACCTATATTTAATTTAAATGCCTTTGTCAGTTCTTGAGTGACCTTAACCTACTCCTGTTTCTTAATCCAGTGCTTTTCTGACTTATCCCACTGCTGTTCTGCTCTTCAAACTATGACCAGTGCCTGCTCAAGCATCTTAATGTGGAATGTCTGTGGCACGTGAGGAATGCGACTTCATCCCTCTTCTCTTCTGCCAAAGTACTGATGTCCAAAGTACAAACGAAAAGTGAATTTTTTTCAATGAGGTTGTTTTGTAAAATGAAATACTTACCAAGCAGGGAGTACTTAAGTGGAGATGCTTTAAGTATGGGTAGCCAGCTGCTTATCTATATCCTGAAGCAGGAAAAACTTTGTATGCAACTGGTGCCTTAAGTTTGGACCATGATTCTGTGAGCCTGGGTTCTGATCTCTCTCTTGTCACTAGCCCTGTCTGAGCTTGATTTTCATAGTATTGCCAAAACCAAGTAATCAAAAATCAGATAGTTGATGTAAACACCCAGGCATAAAAATTATTTTTGAGTTGCCTTTTGGCAACTTGGGTGTGCTGAGCTGAGATTTCAGAACCCTTTCTCCTCCAAATTAAAACCTGATTTCATTTTGACATTGCTCCAGGGCTGAGGCTTTGAGAACAGTGGCTGGACTCTTGTGGTTTTAAATTGTGAGAATTGATAGCAGAGCATCTTCTCTGTGTATTTCCCTCTTCCTTTAGTGTGTATTTCCTATCTAGGTGGTTGTTATGGTTTAGCTAAATGAAGAAGATTTTCTTGTTGAATTTTTTCATTTCATCAGTGTGGTTTTGGAGGGCGCAGGGGACACCTCCCCTCTCTTCCCCTGTGTGGGGAGTGGGGTGGGGAAGGGTGAGGGTCCCCACGAGAAGTGCCATGAGAACTTAGGAAGAATAAAAATTGCTGGAGCCATCAAAACTGTCTCTCTCTGGCTTCTGGGGCTGTAGTTTGGAGGAAGTCACTGGTTGCTCACCACCAGGACCTCTCTGCTGGTCCCCCTCGTGCCCCATGCCTCCTGCCTCACTGTTGGCTCCCATGTGGACCTGCCTTGCTGCCAACCCCCTTTGCGCCATCTGCCTCACTGCTGACCCACATCCCAGACTTACCCTGCATCCCAGCTCTGCAGTTCTCATGCCAAGTGGGGGTTCTCCCATTTGTCACCACTGCCACCAGTACCTCTGCCCAAAAGCCATCGCTTCCTGTCAATTGTAGCCCTGACGCTATCACCTTGGAGTAACTGCCACTCGTAGTTGCCATCGCTGCCTGCTGCCATTGCCCACTGCTGCTGCTTGCCCCGCACCACCAGCGCCACTCCGCATGCTAGTACTTCCTCCTCCAACCTTGCTCTGCATGTGACCTCTGTCAGGTTTGCGTTGTCATCTCAGCAGCATAGACTGAAAGAGTGGGTTTAGATGACATTTTCTGTTATTGTTTGGGTTTTGTTCTCCTTTTTTTTTTTTTTTTTTTAGTAAAACTGTTACTGATTTTTATACTTCACTTGGACACCTCGTAATTTTAGGAGTGGAGGGGTTCTATTCCATTGAAGTCCCCGCCTCCTTGGACATATTGTCAGTAAACCAAGACAATAAATTGACATTTCCCAATGTGAGGCATTGAAAGTAAAAGTGGAAAAAGAAGAACAGTTTTGAATAATCCATTTGCGTATTGGATACAGAACCCCTAAGGCATCATGTTGTCTCATTTATTCCTGTTTATTTGGCATGTATTCCTGCATACATGTTTCCCATTCATAGGTGTTAATCTCAAAATAGGTTCTAAAACTAAGTTAGCTGTGGATATTTTTCAGTTCATAACTTGGATCTCTGGGGTGGTAAATTCAGTGCCTATAAATCTCCTTTGGAATGTGTTTTCAGGGTTGTTTTCCTCCCCTAACCTAAACTGTTATCCTTGGGGATTTAGTGATAATGGCACCCAATCTGGGGGAGAACCGCAGGAGAGTGTTTTTTCCCAATCCTTCACCTATTTCTCCTTCAGGTCCACCACAACAGTTTTTTAATAGTTTCAATTCCCTCTAGATGTTAGACATACCTTACTCTGTGATATGTTTGACAGTTTGCATTATTATACTCTATCTTATGTATGAAGTTAGGACCAAGACCTATCGGGAATGTGTCCAGAAGCCCACCCTAGGAGTGAATAGTTTCAAGTGGTATGAGTTGTGGGAGGACATGGGTAGGTTCTTGGAGAATGTTTCTGCTCCAATGACCTGAAAGTTCACCCTTCAACAACTGCAGGACTCTGTCAAGGTGTTGAGATCGGTGAGGGAAAAGTGCCATGGTAGATCTATGGAGGGGCAGCTTGTGGTTGCATGTGGAGCCCTGACCACTGTCTACCAAAAGCTGCTCGACAACCAAACAAATCCATTCTGACCTTGTTGATTCGAGTCTGAGATCTTATGGGTGTCGGAGGATGCAGCAAGGCCTCAGTGCCTGGCAGCATGGGAAAGAATGTAAATAAGAGGTGAACATCCAATCATACGTGAAGGCTAGTGGTAAATATATAGATAATAGAGCTAAGAATAGTGTTAGTATGTAAGATGCTACAAGACAGAGTGTGAGTGCAGCTGTATGAAGACAATGTAATATTCTAGATGAAGAGAATAAAAGCTGAATTTAGACCATCATCGTAAGTGCCCAGTTTTATTATTATGGTCGTCCTCACAAACAA